AATAGACGTTTGTGAACAATGTTGTGCTATGCTGTCGTGGACAATACAATGATCGCAGAAGTGTATAGTGGGATTATGTGCATGATATGTTTCAGTGAATGTGAGTACAATAAGACTTTAAGGGTGGAGTATCAACTGTGGGAATGATTACTTTGGAGAATGTCTCGGGAATTCTTAGGGAATAATATAAGATTTGATTGATTTTTAAATTATCATGAAAAAAAAAGGTGTAAACTCTTGAAACTTTGTCTGAAGAGTGGCTGCTGGAGTTTCCAAAACCACGGAACTGATGGTGTTTTTGGTTTATCTTGTTAACTAGTCAAAGATGCTGAATACGTTTTTAGATCTTCTTATTGTTTAGATTGTATTACTGGTAACTCTCAGTTAATATTGCTAATTCCTATATGGCCAGGAATCTTTATGACCTTGAAACATTTATCTGTTCTGTGTGCCCTCAGCTCTTCTACCAATTTTTTTATTTACTTTGTATGCTCAACTTGTTAAATTGTTTTCTAATAATAGTTTTTTCTGTTGTATAGTTGAACCTGCTCCAGGGGTGGATCTTGAAGGCCTCGAAGTTGCCAGGGAATGTTTGACTGAGGTGTTTAAACTTGACTCAACTTCTGCTAAAGATGTGAAACCTGATGTATTAGTTGACTTATTCAGTTCATTGGAAGCAAGTGAGGATCAGAAAATTAAATCAGATCTAAGTCACAGGAGAAGTTCAGATAATGCTCCTAGTTCATCGTATGCCCATGATGTTACTAGCAATAATTCCTTGAAGGCATCAGAACTGGTATATTTTCTACCTTCTTTCTTTTTTTCAAAATTTATGTAAAATATATTTGACTTTAGGATTTAACTTTGGCATGATGTATGTCATCTAAAATTTAATTCTTTCTATTTTAAAATTTAATATGGAAAATTTTCTTCGTGAATGGATTTCTTTCTTTATCATTAAATGAGTGTAGTTGTAGTGGCATTCTGTTAGGGACATTCTTGGCACTAGTGGGGGTGTGATGCAATCTCATATCAAATTTTGGATGCAAATAGTTCTATATGACTTAATGTTTGATAAAAGTAAAATGAGAGATCTGGTTGGGAAAAAGTGTGTGCAATCATATGGTCATTGCATAATGGAATCATTATTGTTACTACTACCATTGCAACTATCACTGCAACGAGAAATTACATTTAGAATTTTATCTCACAGAAGTAAACTATTAAGTCTTAATATTCCAACTACTCATTTCTGAATTCCTTCCCTCTGACTATGTAAAGGTTACACTTTAGGTATTATAGAAGCTAACCAATTTGCTTTCTTGAATTAAAGTTGCAGTGTTTTTGCTATAGTTATGCTCCAATTGTTCTCTCAACTTTTAGCCTAGTATTTTATTCAATGAGAAAGTTGAAAAGAACAAAAAAAAAAGTGTGTGTGTGTTGGGGAGGGGGAAAATGTTCTAATTAATTGCTTCTTTTGAATGATAACCTGTGATTGAATTCTGCAATCTTTAAGAACAGAACTGAAAATCTTATCGTAACATATATGTTGGTCTGTATAATATTGCACCAATTTGCAGCTACGAGTTATTAAAGTTTGCATGACGTTCTGGAGGCATTTATAATATTGTGATATTCATCTCTTGCAGCACTTTTTTTTTTTCCCATGTATTTGGACATTATTTTTTTGTCTAGTTCTTTCTAATATGATCTTTTTCTTAATTTCTCTGAATTAGGGGGAGAATTGGACAAGAGAACCTCAGTCTGCAGGTGGACTGTTCTTTATCTTGAAAACTATATTTTGGACTTTTTAATAACAGCGCTGAATTAGTTCTACATTTGTGTTATCTATTTCAATGCTTTAGGTTATACACAATAATTCTAATTTGACATCAATGGAACTTGCAGGGGTCTCCAAGGATGAACTCTTTGGGCAATTCTTTGCTGCACTAGAGAAAATTCATTTTTTAAGGGCCATGCCTGATGGGAATGATGATCCTGCGCAATTGGATAAAGCTACTCGTTTATTTCAAGATGCTTTAAATGTATGTTCTGTTAGTTGTATAGTTAAATTTGTTAGCGTTTGAATTAATTGGTACAAAGTGATGGTTTTTATTGATATATCTTAAGATTTGGCTCATGGATTCTGGTTTAGTTTTAGATTATACACTTTCTGTTTGAATTAGTTTAATCAATAGTGTATTCATGCTTTGACTACATCACTACACCCAGAAACTAAATAGGGGGAGGCCAAGGAGATAGGGTGCAATGATCATTAATGTTTCACCAGGGCATGTATTTATGCATCAGTTATGATATTTGTCCTTAATGAAATGATTTAGTATGAGAATCTTTGGTGGATTTCTTCTCATTATTTTAATAAAGAACCAATTGTTTCAAGCTTAATCCTTCTCCGCAGAGAATTATATTAGCAAACTGTTACCATTTCTTTCTTACTTTGACATCTGCCAGGCAGTGCAGACAATGGCATCTTTATTTCCTCTTCTGAATTAATGTTACATGTCCCACTGCAAATTGACTGACCTCTGAAGTCTTACACATCACATGACAAGCTTCAGCTTCAGTTATTTCTTACATTGGAGAAACAAATTATTATTTTTTTCTTATACCACCATAAATTTATGTGGCTTGGGAATCTGAAACAGTTCAACTACCAATTTCTAGATTGGAGTTCCTCTGAATTAAGCATCCTTGACCAAGTGGCTTACAATTTCAGATGAAGAGGGTAAGTCAGTGAGCAAACCATTAAATCATCATAATGACTGAAGGATTGGAGAACTAAGGAAGTTAGGAAGCTGCTGGTTGCAATGTTTGTCAATTGCATGGTATCCAGCTGAGTTTAAGTATGTGTCATCTTTGAGGTTTTGCTGTGCAGAATATGTGATTATAAGGAAGGATATTACTGTTGTTTGGATTCTCAATTTCTTTTCATTTTTGTTGCTTTGAACTAGTTAGGAATATGGGATTCACGGCTGATGATTTCAAAGTCCATATTGCTTTCACATCGTTAAATAGGATAGTTGGAACTTGATCTTTTTCATTATATTCTCATTCTATAATTTTGTGCCATTTGTGGTTATTATCATGTTTTATTCACTTTCTTATGATATCAGTTAGCTTCTGTCATGCCTTCATTAATGTTTTAATTATCTTCCACATCAGGAGATGGAGCGATGTGGATGTAAGGAATTTGACTGTAAAAACCTGGCTGAGACATTTAAATGTCAAGGTAATAAACATTTGTGTACCTTTTGTCGCCAGTTAGTGCTTTAAATCTGTAACCTTTATTTCACGTGTTCATTATTTTGGAGAGTGTGAGAAAGTTTTGTTCTTTTCCTTGTACATTGTCTAATCTGCATGTGCTTTATCTGTTGATTTGTTAGTAGTCATGAAGTACAGGTGGTCAAAGCAGACCCAAACGAGCAGCTCGCTTGAAACCCAACCTGTGCCACGTGATTTCACTGAAAAAGTCAATGACTTGAACCCAGTTACTATATCCATATTGAGTAAAATGTGGCAAAAGTTGACATGAACCTGAAAGATTCGTAAAAGCTGCCAGCCCTAAATATAACCATGTCTGACCTAAATTGAATCTAAAAGTTAACAACCTGAACCTAAAGTCGCTGGAAGAATTCAATGCCTGAAACGACCCAAACCATCCAATTGCCACCTATATCCTCTCTTTCTTCTTTAAAAATGAATCTTTTTTCATAGTAATTATTGCATTAGAAGTGTCAATATGATGACCATTTATTCCGTTGTTATTTTTGTATCATGATTTTAAAAATATCATGCAGTGTTCATTCTCTGTAAAAGCTGAATATCTTGTTTATATTGTCATTGCTTTCAGGTAACAGGGCCATGCAGTCAAAGCTATACTCCCACGCAATAGAGCTGTATTCTGTGGCTGTTTCACTTTGTGATGATAATGCAGTTTATTATTGTAATAGGTGCTGCATTGTGCATGCTGATAATTTGATATGTATTTGCTCAATTTGCCATCGTTATGGGTTAAGAGATAAATGAATTTGCTTGTTTGTGAAGAGAAGTATAAATATAGTGAGTGCAATACATGGATTCTCAGGGGATAGTATTGGACTAATCAACAGTTAATTTTTTCTTACCAAAGGATAGGAAAGCCCTTAGTCCTACTATCCCACATTATCCTTGCACTATTTAGGTCATCCTGTTGGTGCCATTGAACAGCGTATAAGATTTTAACCTTTGACTTTTAGAAATGATAAACTTGTTTTTCCTGTTCATCATGTCTTGATAATATCAGGATTTAGAAAAATTGGTTCCTTTTTAATGTTTGGATTCTAGTAACTTTTAGAAATATACCTATTTCTTTTATTAGATTGCAGCAAGCTTCAACCATTTCAGATATTTGTCTTCATATAACTGTAATGTCTAAGAATTATGTATGCTTATCAGGGCTGCTGCTTACACTCAAATTCACAAGTACAATGAAGCGATTAGGGACTGTCTTAAATCCATTGAAATTGACCCAAATTACAGCAAGGCATACAGTCGTCTTGGTTTAGCATATTATGCTCAAGGGAACTATGCTGATGCAATTGAGAAAGGATTTAAGAAAGGTTGGTGGGAAATCATTTGTGAGCTATACAGAGTGTTACTGTTGTACTGAAAAATGCAGGCAGCAGCATTAAGTTTTCTCTATCAATGTATTTTTCAGCTATCATGATATGTTTTTTCTGCTTTTTGTGAGTCCGCTGTCTTATCTATTTATGTAGGTTGCCAATTTCACCACTCTTGGTCTCTCTATGGGTAGATGCAATTTACCTTATTGTACAGGACCTGAATATACAGTATGCTGACCTATTTCCATGATTAGTTTGTGCTTTTAGAAATTAGTTAATTGATTTTGGATCTTACATCATAAAAGCTAATGTTTGATCCATGCAAAAGTTGACACAACTTTGCATCATTTTATTAGCCACAATCTTCAGTATATTGTGTTTAGCTTTTAGCTTTAGTCATGGGCACATCTAATTCTAGGATATCATTTATCAGCATTCTTTTGATGTATATTTAGAGTGGATTATCTTACATTTACAATTGAAGAAAGCTCCCACATTTCCTTAAATCCAGATATTTTCATTGATATCAATCGCACATTGATGGTTGTGGTTTCTGTCTGCTGTCAAACAAACTAGTTTCAAACTTTTATTATTTAACTTGCAGCCTTGCAATTGGATCCAAATAATGAATCTGTGAAAGAAAACATTCGGGTAGGTGTCAGTGTTCCTTTTCTTACATTGTTATGATGGTGGTGTTGTCTTGACATTCTTATTGTGATATACAGGTAGCTGAGCAGAAATTGATAGATGAGCAGCAGAGGGCAGAGTGGGATCCGGTAATATGAAATATTAGTCTTTTACTGAAATGTGATTATAGGTGTCTAATAACTGGAAAAAGTGGTCTATAATAATTACCACACCAAAAATAGCCATTACCAGTTTAGCCCCTTACAATTATAAGTACATACTGAAGAAGAGTATAGGCAGTACTGTTGTCATAACAATACCTAAAATTTGGGTACAATTGTTATGTAACATGTCATTGTGCAGGTACCATGAGTTTGTTTAACACTAAAAGACAGGGTTTCAATCCTGTTCCCCTTGAAAATTGACCCAATTTGTATACTGTTCAATTATTCTCAAGAATATTTGCTATTTGAATGTTACTTTTAAATTTCTTGTGTTTCTTCATATGCTTCACTCTTCCTTCCCTTTCTAAAGAGATCTCAATGTCATATTCTCCACTGTTTCAGATGATTAATGGCCCATTTCTTTGAGATTTACTATTACATACATCTCATTTTCTGTCCATCTTTTAATTCCATCTTACAGAACGCTAGTTCCAGTCATAATAATGAAGGACCTAATAACCATTCAACTGGGTCAAGGAGTCATGGTGCATCACCTCCATTTACAATACCTTTTGACACTAGTGCCCTTCCTGCTGATTTTGCGAGCATGCTTATGAATATGGCTGCAAGTGCATACCAAGGACAACCGTCTCAAAACAGGCAGGGAGAAGACATGAATGTAAACGGATCTGAAGAGCCTGGAATAAGAATAGGTGGGAACATCAACTTGAATTTTGGTGAGCAAATGCAAATGCAAATACCAGAGGAGTTAACTGGAGCTTTCAGATCTGTGATGGAAATGTTCTCAGGTACATCATCTCCTGGAAACCCTCAGGACACAAATGGAAGGTGAGCTCCAAACTAAAGGATTGTACAAACATGTATGGTTAATTATATTTCAATTTACTAAGTCATGCTTTCAATTTTAACACCCGCTTCTCATTGAGTTACAAAGGATTTCCTTGAGAGTTGAGACAAATGTAAAAACTTAAGGTAGTGAATTTTTTGTTCTTTTATAGAAAGTTAAGTATAATACCAAATGATTAGCTTAATCAGGTAAGGTGATTTTGATCAGATATCATGGGATTTTACTCTTTAGTTGCTTATGCCATTGGATCTCTTTGTGGATCAGAACCGATACATTGAGAACAACATTGCTGCTAGATGTATAAAGACGGGAAAACACCTTGCTTTGTTTAGATTTTCTGACTTTTCACAGTCAAACTATAAATCAGAACATAATGGCAAATCCTTGGAGATGTAGATTGCTTGCTTGGAATGCATGAAAGTTGACAGTTGTCTGGTCAGCCAAATATTAAAAAAGACACACACATTGACGGTAACGCCATGGCGAATACCACAACTTTTCTACCGTTTGAATGAGTATATTTCTTCATGCATTAGATTTCCTCCATTGCTAAGTAATTTTAGTTTATTTTATTTGACAATATTTCAAGTGAAGAATGAAGAATTGATAAAACTTGGATGATCACAGGGCAACGTAATGTAGGATATGTATATTAATAGGTTCATTAGTAAATGTATCACAAATTCTTTCTTTGTTATGCCTAACCTTACCAACGATCCCTCCTTCCTCTTCCCTATGTATTGCGGCTTCAACATCAATGACATGAGACTAAGCTACTTCTCTCAGGTATGTATTATGATATTTATCTCTTTCATTTTTCTTAAAAAAGTATAATTTTAACATTTCAAAATTATTATATTATGATAATATTATATGCATAAAAATTTTATTTAAAAAATTAATGATGTTTTGCTACATTCGTCATTGTGAAATCTCAAACTTTATATATATTTGGAATCCTTATTTTTTTTATGGAAAAATAATAATAATGACATATTTGAACATAATTAATTGTCCTTTAACAATCCAAATGATTTCAACTAAAAATTTATACAAAATGATGATGTATTAAAAAAAAAAAAGAAAACAAACAATGCTATCTTTGACTACCCACAAACAAAACAAGTTAAATTTCTATCACAATACGTCAGTCAGTACCAAGCCATTCTTATCTTGTTACAAATCACCTCCACCCCTTCTTTTCACTCCCAATAATTAGAACAAATTCAAAGAGAAAAAGCACAATTAATGTTATGTTTTAGCCTTTAGGACATATATAGGCCATTTGAAACTCTGGGGTTTTTTTCTTGTTGAAATTTTTTAATGTTTATATATTGTATATGATTAAAATAGTGTGAGTTCAAATTTCCCTTCTTTAAAAAAATTAAAATAAATATTAATATACAACAAGGTGTAATACTAATTGCCATTATCAAAATTCTCAAGAACCATAAAAAAGGGCATACTTTGCTTAAAGAACGAATGATTCCGATTACGGCCTTATCTTCTTCTTACTTTTTAGTTGTTTAAAAATCTTTATTCAAGTCTCATTCTACACTTATCCAAACCTTAAGTTACGTACTTAACAAAACGTTATGACATAATGGATTGGGTCACGTTAATATGACAAAGTCATAGACTTGAGTAAGGGTGTTGGTCCCATTAGCTCCCTCAATTGGTCCAAAACGTTTGGTTTAACTGATTTTTTGATCGGTTCTCGATTTTAAAATTTTTGGACTAATCCATCTAAAAAATCAAACTAGTTTTTTATATATTTATATATATAATTTTTTTATATATTAAGAAGAATTATTAGTAAACTTAATTAATAATATACTTAAAATATATTAATATATTATATGTATATATACAAATTATGATTATAGCAATTTAATATTAATTAATTTTATTTATTTATAAATCTATATTAATATGAAATTACAAGTTATATATTTTAAATGATATAACATATATGTTAATATTGTAATATATAATTGTAAATATCCTATACATTAATATGTTATAATTATCACACTTTACTAATCTTTCGTAATATAAAATGTTATGAATATATATACAATTGTATAAATATATTATATATACATATATTTAATTTATACATAAGCATTACTATAATTTATAATAAATTTTATTTATATGATTATATTAGGTAACTTTATTTGTTATCACCTTATATTTTATAACATATTGTTTATAATTAATTATTATTTATACAAACTTTGATATAAAACATTATAACATATAAGTTATGTCATTAATTTCATATATATATAATAAAATCATATATTATATATATTTAATTTATATATAAGTATTGCTCTAACTTATAATAGACTTTATTTATATGATTACACTTAATAACTTTATTAGTTGTCACATTAGATTTTATAACATGTTGTTTATAATTAGTTATTATTTATACAAACTTTGATATAAAACATTTTAACATATAATTTGTATCATTAATTATATAAATAATAAGTAATATATTATATATACATATATTTAATTTATATATAAGCTTTACTATAACTTATAATAAATTTTATTTTTATGATTACATTTAATAAATTTATTAGCTATTACCTTAGATTTTATAACATATTATCTATAATTAGTTATAATTTATACAAATTGTGATATAAAACATTATAACATATAAGTTATATTATTAATTTCATATATATATAATTATGGATAAAGTTTATAAGTTTTAATATTATAATTTATAAAAAAATAGTGATAAAATTTTGATCCGTTGGTCTAAAACCCAACCAACCAAACCAATTTGATGTTTGGTCAGTTTGATTGGTCTGATTTTTTTTTTTATATTTGGTTAATTTTTTAAAAATGATTAGTCTATTTGATCTTTAAGTATGGTGAATCAAACCACCCAATCCATCCATTTACTCATCCTTATGTAATATTTTCATTCCAATAAAAAAAAATGAATTCATAAATTTTTGATAGACATTAATATTGCATCATGTGTCACATAATTATTAAACTATTTAATAAAAATAGTAAAAAAAATTATATGCCTTGACACATCACACATATAATGGAAATTAATTAAAGTTTTTTTTTATCATTCATTCATCTTTTTTTATTCCTTTTTTTATTCAGGAAAGTCAACATTAAACAAAAATGACATCTTTCCCTTTCTTGTTTGGTTGTTTTTCTTGTATAAATAATTACTGTTTCAGAAGACATTTATTAAGTTAATGGCATTGATTTTGATAATTATAATTCATTTTAAATTCTTAATGAATCTCTTTTATATAAATAAATTAATTAATAAATTTTTTATCCACCAACAAATTTTTAATAGTAAAAATTGAACGCGAAACTTCTATGATATTAAAAAAGAAATTTTATTTGGTTTTATTTGAAAAATTTTATCATCATAAAAAATTTTGAAAATAAGAATATATAAAAAATAATATTTTTATTAATATTATAATTTACATATTAATAAATATGTAATTGATCCGTTTTCAAATATTTAATTTATTAATTGAAAAAAAATCTAAAACAAAAGTTTGTTTGGTCCCCTACCATGAAAATTCTGCTATAAAAACACCGTTAAACAGAACGTATTGGGTCAGAAATTGAAGAGGAAAGGAGGAAGTTTTGCATGGCAGATGGGCCACAGCCACATGCACCACATCCACTTTGCGTCACTCTTGTGAAACGCAGACAGTATCCGAACCCAATTGCCATCTGTTTGGTCTCAAACAGGCACTGTTGGTTTTCCTTTGTTTGCTTCTTACCCTGAGTCATGCCCAGAGAAAATTTAAGCCACAACAAACAAAAAGAAAAAAGACTGAACATATAAAAGCAAGGCCCCTTTTCGGAGGAAACTAGTTCTGATACTCCAACGTCTTCACTCTCGGTCTTTCCGCCCAGCATTTGACTACCCTATTCGTTTTACACTGTTGTTCGAACGTCCTCGTTTTGATCTCTTCTTGAAAAGTAAGCTGAAAGCCCCTTTCTTTGTGAAGCCCCCCATTGTTTTGGTTTTTTTGTAATGCTGCTCACTTGAATTGGGTCCCTTACTTTCCCAAGTTTTTCAGCTTCAGCTTCGACACTTTGAAGGTATTTTTGGATCATAAACGTGTTTACTCAAATGGTTTTTTTTATTGGTTATTGTTTGGCTTTTTTTTTTTTTT